TATTTATTTTGATAAGACAGAAGATGGTAATTTGTCTTTCATTTATACTTTTACTTGCTTCTGTCTAGTAACGAATTGTAATTTGGTTTTCATTTCGATTTAAAATGTGTTCTTTTCATCTTTGCGTTAGCAATAATCGCAACAATTTTCATTTTTTGTACCAAGTAATTGTTTGCTGGTTGAACTGTTACTGGTAGTTACGGAAACTTTGAAATTGTCATCTTGTAAGCCATTCAGCTTAATTACATTTGCCAAATTGTTTATAATGTTTCCTGAGAACAATTATTTAATGTTTGATGTACTGTACATGATGTACATATGCATAACATTGTTGGTATGCAAAATATGTATAACATCTTTTGTATTGTACATATGAAGAAATGTACTTTGTGCTATGTATGTGTTTGTAAGTAAATGATGTGTTCTGAAAATTTTGTTTAATTTTAAAATTTTAGTTGTGAATATACCTTGCACATCATTGCTAACACATTTTCCCCACTGAGTTTTGCTTGATCTTGTCCATCATCAATGCCCAGATTTAGTTAATAAGTACCGTAACTAGTTTTAATTTCTCAGTTATTCTATTCTTTACCTTATATCTTTGCTTTTTTTTGCCATTAGTTAGTTTTGACACAGAAACTTTTCATACACCTGATGTCCCAGCCCAACAATGCATCTGTTGTTTACAATCCTTGCACTCCAAACTTCCCTGGGGAAAAGAGGCATATTCTGGATCTGCATGATGTTAGTGCTCTGCTCTCCTCACATCAGAAGGTTATCCACCAATATTTGTTAAGTTTTAATGTCTAAGGACGAAAGCAATCCTGGAGGTAATGTCTCAAAGATTTTCGTTTGATTACTTCCCTTTCCACCTCCCTAGGGCAACCAATTTAGCGTTGTTTTTGTTTCTATTCAAAATTGTTTTATTATTTTAGATGGCACAGAGCCACCAACAGAAACCCCCTTGACGCGCAGTGTTAGACCGACACGTGAGTGCTTTCAGACCGTGACAGTCGCAGCTGCTGCGTTGTATTTGTAACGATATCTGCTGTTGTTTCTTTCCTCCGAAGAGACCCGCCCTCACCAATCCCTGAGCAGAGTGCAGTTCATCCAGCCTCCACCGCCACAGCGGCCGTCTCACACGACCAGCGCGCGGCACGTCACGCCACGTTAGTGCAGGAGCGCTCCTCGCATGAGGCAGGGCCGGCAGGGCTCGGCAAAGGGTCACATGGCTTCTGTCCGCCTCCAGGAAGGGCCTCCTCCGGCGCGCCCGAGAAGAGGATGCGCGTGGACGTGGGCACCCCGTTCATGGAGAGGAACCTGATGACGGTGGAGCGGGCCATGGCGGACTTCCTGCTGACGCACGACGACCTGGACGGGCTCAAGCGGACGCCGAGGAGGTCCCCCTACCCCAACTCGCCAGAGTTGCTGGTGCTGTCCCGGAAGGACGTGGTGCAGAGGTAGCGTGTGGTAGCGGGTCTCGGACCGTCGGGGTCGGGGTGGCCTCCACTCGAGTATACGGCCCCTGACTCGCCCCCTTTGAACGGCTCCCGTCAGGGCGAACCTCAGGTGGGGATCCCCGGAGAAACTGGTCGAGGAGCTGCAGCGCCGGATCCGACACGCGTCGCGGACGGCCTCGTCGCTGGGTGAGTGGTGGACCGGGGCTGCCGCTCCTGCGGCTGCACGTCCAGGCCCCGCCGCTCATCAGCGTGACGCAGGGATCCGGCGCCTGCCCAGGGACGAGCGTCGCCGCCGCGGCGAGGACGCCGAGCCTCGCGCGGCGGGGCTGTGCGCCGCATCCGGGAGGGTGGTGTTGGCGGCCATCGTCATGTACGCTCTCTTGTAGCGCATGCCGCCCGAGGGTAGGCAAGCCTGCAGGCTCACTGCTGGGGTGGCGCGGGCCGCGGCTCTCTTCAATAACCAAGGCACCTTATCCTTACAGGAACGGCGGGTGTATGGTAATGAAGTTCGCCGCCTGGTATTACACTAAGTCCCACTCGATGTTCTCAGAATTCTTGCACTCAGTGGCAGACCTCGCGAACCAGATTATCATTGCCATCGGTGTGCACACCTCGACGAAGGTGGGTCAAACTATCCGGCTCGCGCGTTGTTCCTCGCCGGGGCGACCGCACCGCATCTGACCAACATCACCCCCCTCCCCCATTCCAGCGCCCTAGCGTGATCCACCCCTACGGGTACACCAACATGAAGTTCGTGAGCGCGCTCATATCCGGCGTGGGCATATTCTGCGTGGGCACGGGGGTCTCCTTGTATCATGGGGTCACCGGCCTCCTAGAGAAGTCTCCCCTCCCGGATCTCACGATGGTGAGTGTTTAGTGGTTGGGCTGCTGGGTGACCCGCAGGTTCCAGGGCCGTTGTACTTTAAGGGGATGGCGTGCGTGTTTCCCGACACTGCGTTTCAACTTGCATTCATTCATGTCGTTGGGTCCCCCCCCCCTTTCACCCACTGGTGCCCTCACCTCCCACTGACACAGGCATTCTTGGTGATGGGGGTGTCCGGGCTGCTGGAGGTGTCTACGCTGGCCCTGGCCGTGCGCGCCCTCCGCCACGAGGCCTCCAAGAGGAACATGGCCTTGTCCGCCTTCGGTAGGCCATCCTCGGCTGCGGCAGCATCGGTGTGGGGATCCCGGGGGATCCGCTTCCCTCACCGACAGAGGTAGTCATGACCTCCCAGGACCCGGGCGTCAACGTGGTCCTGACCGAGGACCTCGCCGCCGTGGTGGGCGTGGTGCTGGCGTCCGCCTGCCTGCTGCTCTCGCACAAGACCACCTCGCACGTGCCGGACGCCGTGGGCTCGCTGCTCGTCGGCGTCGTCCTGGGGGCGGTGGCCGTCTTCATCATCACGACCAACGCGGGCAGGCTGGTGGGGAGGTGGGCGATTGTCCGGGCGGGGGCGGGCAGCGGCGGGCAGCGCGGACCGACGGACCAGCGGTAACCCTGGTGACGTCACCGCAGGTCGATACCCAACGACCTGCTCCAGCAGATCAACGCGGAGCTCGAGAATGACGTGATGGTCCGCGCCATCCACGACGTCAAGGGGATCGACATGGGCGACAACATGGTGCGGTACAAGGCGGAGCTCGACTTCGACGGGAGGCAGCTCGCCAGGGCCTACCTGGACCAGGTCAACATGAACAGCATGCACGAGGTACTTCTCGTTGTCGACTACTACGCTTACTCCTTGGTGTGTGACTCATACAAGGAGCCTGATTCGCCCCACCAAGGTCTAGTCTGACTGCACCGTTGGCACGCGTGAGAGTAGAGGGGTGGTTTCGTAGCCATAGTGCCTGATAGTTAGGCAAAATATTGTCTGCAGTGCATGCGCGTACTGCTGGGTGGCCTACCCCGAGCCTCGCAGGCTCTGTGCGTCGGTAATTTGGCGAATTGATATGAGAAAAACAAAAATGGACGTACTTTCTGGACGATTCCTTATCGCCTCGGAAAATAACCCCTTACGGCTCAAACGAAAAGGCAACACACCCGTACGCCTGTATGTGGTACAGAGTTTGCAGAAAGAATGCGCCATACCTCATTTAGTTCATCATGAATATATGAGTTAACCCGGGGTGGACCAAATTATTTTACGGCTTTGTTTGCAGTCCTTGAAAAATATCCAATCCATGGAGGAGCTTGAAGAGTTCATGCTTGACCACGGCGAGAATCTTGTAGATCTGCTTGGCAGCCAAATAGACCGCATCGAACGAAAGTTAAAGGTACTAAAACGCCAAGCAAGCGACGAGTACAGTACCTAGATAGGAACTGTCCCTAATGATACAGATGCTCTTTGCAGGCGGCGCACCCTTGTATAAGACACGTCGATCTGGAGATTTTGTAATCCATAGAAAATGTCATTTGGAAAGCGGAAAAAATAAACATAATTCACCCTGGATTATATGTTGTTGTTTTTATTAAAACTGAAAATGTGTATTTAACCGAGGGTGAGGAGTATGCGACGGGGATAGACCTCGAACACCTAAAGGACAGGCGGTGTGATTGAATGCAATAAAAACTCATTATTTATTTAAAAGTTGCAGAGTTACTTTTTTGCTATAGAGTTGTATGGAAGTGGGTAGGGCACAGGAATGTTGGTGTTTTCAAGAAACAAGAAATATTTCAAGATAAATAATACTGTTTATTGGTCGAGACTAGAGAGGTGCGTTTAACCGAGGATGAGGGGCGAGGAGTAGGCGACGGGGCCGGACCTCACGATGCCGCTGGAGTAGGCGGAGGCGATGGGGGCGGCGGCGACAACGGGGCTGGAGTACGCCAGAGGGGCGCGGGCCACCACGGGGCTGGAGTAAGCCAGAGGAGCGCGGGCCACCAGGGGGCTGGAGTACGCCAGGGGGGCGGAGTACGCCAGGGGGGCGGCGACGGGGGCAGAGTAGGCCACGGGGGCCACGTAGCCGGCGGAGGCGGCAGCCACCACGGCGAGGAGGACGACCTGCAGGGAGGAGAACAGAGCGAGGCGTTAGCGACACGACATGAGAGCGAGAGCGGCGCGGACACCGAGACCTAGGGCGGAACACTCACCAGCTTGTACATGGCGGATGAGTTACTTCTCTTGCGGACAGGAGACGAATTGATGATTGCAAAACCACGCAGCCTTATATACGGAGTTAACTCTTTGCAGAATGTATAGCGGAAGCGGGCGGGGTATACCGCGTGGAGGGGAGAGGGGCAGAGCCGAGGTGGGGCGTGAGGGGAGAGAGAAGGGGGGCGGGACGACGTTTGGGAGGCCTGCGAACTGAGTCTTGTGTGGACCGAAGTGCAGAGGGAAATAATTGGCAGTAATACTTTTACTGCTTTTGTGCTTAATCGGGGAACATGTTACCGTTGCAACGGTCAACCGCATGTAGTCGAGAGAAAACTCTTTGCGCAAAGCAGAAGCCGACTAGTCAATCAACGAGGAGATGTGAGTGCCACACTATAGTGTATTTCGACTAACAGAGGAAGAATAGATGGCAGAAAATAAAGGTTCCTGATTGGTCGAACGCTTACCCCCACTACCGGCGTGACGTAGAGGCGGGAAGCTCTCGGCCAATCGGTAACGTTTATGTTCTACCCGTTCTTCTTCTTCCTCCGTTAGTCGAAATACACTATTCCTGGGTGGGCCATTTCGCTCAGAGGCAGCCTCGGGTGATCTACTGCTTGGACGCAAACTAAGAACCCTGGAACAGAGCGAGCTGTTTAAGGTTTAGGGTGCCCCCACAATGAAGCTACCTCGGGGTTACGCGAGTGAGGGCGCCGAACGGTGACTTGTGCGCTGTGGGCGGGCCGCCGTTTCCACACAGCTGCTTGGCGGGTTGGCCTACCCTGCGCGCTGTAGGCGCCATCATTGGCGTTGCCTCGTTAAAACGTTCACTGTAGAACGCGCGCACTGCTGGAGCATCTCACTAACTCCTGTCATTTTCGGATTTCGGACGAAGCCTGTCTCGAGTGGTCTCAGGTCCCAGAGACCAAAGACCCACCCGTTCGAGAACTCGCTGACAGCATTGCAACTATGATCTTCTTGGAATTTCTTTTTTGTTTCGCGCTTTGCCGCAGTTTGTCTCCATTCAACCGATTCGAGCCGATTTGATCCTCGTGTTGATCAGTGGGAAGGAAGCGAGGGTCTGGCGCGTGCACGCGTGCGGGCGGGCGGGCTCCATCTCCGCCAGCGGCACCAGGAAGGGCGTGGTGCCTCTCGACGTCACACTGATGAGGCTGACCAAATCTGCACGGAGAGCACCGCCTCCCCAGAAATCTGTTTATAAACAAACACGCCGCACACGCGTTGTAGTCTGAAATGTTTTGGGAAATCTTTTATCCGGGATGAACTACTGATGACGTATTAAAATAGTGTCCGCCCCCCTCCCCCTTTCCCCTCGTGGTGCCGTCGCGTCGGGCGCTGACTCCTGATCATATCAACGCCCCCCTCCCCCCTCTCCCTTTCCCGCCGAACAGCTGCTCAGACCCAGCCGCCTCAGCGGCCACCAAGGCCTCCCAATGATCAAGACTCCTCGTCTACTGGAGTGAGACGGAGCGCGGCAGGCTCACTGGCTGAAGACTGAGACGGAGCGACAACACAACAACACTGTCAAGTGAAATAATAAGAGATGGTAAACCTTACCACAACAACTCCTAATCCAAACTCGCTGCGTTGGTGTGACGAAACAGGAGCACCAAGTGTCGTGCGCCGAGTTCATAGTTTTCTCATTTCAAAGTAACTAACAGTTAAAGAAAATTTTAAATCAGTATACTTCAGGCATGCTCTATAAATTCCGACATAAATATTCGCAATAGTATAAATGTGAGAGTCCCATTATTTTCGCCCATATCGGGCGAAGCAGAGGTTTGCGAAAACGACTGAAAGAAAACAGGGTCGGTGCTCTGAGCCGTATTCTTAGCAGATGATACCTTAAATATTTTCACTAAAAAGGAATACATAAGTAACTTTAAGGTGTCAGCTTGCTATAACTCTCGACCAGCAGGAGAGAGAACTAAGAGAACAGAGAACTCAGAGCAAAGAGAATTAGGAGCCAAGAGAACTAAGAGTAAAACCAGAAATTAGTTTTTGTGCGCTGCGGGAATGTTGTCCGAGTGAGTGTCGCGTTAAGCCCCTTCCTTTGCCCTGCCTAATTTTCTGGTTATATCCAGTGAGAAATTTATCCGACGACATCGTTTCGACATCGTTTTGCACGTCGTCACGACTTAAAAGTGGTCATGAAATCGGCTGCTTTTTGACAGTGAAACGTCAAAACGACTTCGAAACGACATCAGCTGTCGAAAAACCGTCGATTTCAGGACCACTTTTAGGTCGTAAGGACGTGAAAAACGATGTCGAAACGATGTCGTCGTAAAAAATTTCTCACTGGGATACTGTACCGCATGAAGGCGAGCGGGCGGGCTTGCCTGTCGAGTCCTTACGGCCTTACGGCCCCGTGCGAGTATGCAACCCATCCGAACACCGTACAGTATCACCAGAAAAAAGTACGGCTTAAAAAACCTGCCCTGTAAGTCGTAATAGAAAGTGGCGCGAATCGGCTCAAATTGAGCAATGTTGTAAAATCATCACTGAAATAGAAAAATGCGGAGCAATGTAAACAAAGATCGCTCTATTGAGGGTGACATAATTGGGTCGCTCGTGCATTTTCAGTGCAGCCACTGCTTGTAAAGCATGATTCCTCGGATCCTATTTATGTTTTGCCCACAGTGTAGGCGAGAATCGTGTTGTGCTCATATCGTCCTGCCCCTGCTCGTCCTGACGAATGCATACGTGCGTGCGGATCCCCCCCCCCTTTTCTTCTGCATCCTCCAGGTTCTCTTT